GCAAGAACAATATTGTGTAATTGAAACTAAGATTAAAAGTCTAGGAAAAAAGATAGGTTTAAATAAAAGTTTATAAATGCAAATACAGCTGTAGAATACAGCTGAAGATTTTATGTATTGGCATCTATTCGATCCGGCATCTATTACTACACGCAATACTGCTCTACTTATCATTCTACACAGCTGTATTTGCATTTATAAACTTTTATTTAAACCTATCATTTTTTCTAGACTTTTAATCTTAGTTTCAATTACACAATATTGTTCTTGCATGTTGTCTCTAGGTCACTCCGATCTCATTTTGCAGATATAAACTATAGAATGTTTGTATTAAGCAAATATTATCGTCATGTGACAGCTCTACATGCCAAAAATTAATGGAATATTTCGTTTTTTTCCGTTTTTTGATATAAAGTCGAGTAGGCTGACTTTCATTTTTGTGCGAACTTTAATCGTGTACAAGAATTTGCAATTCTGTAAAGCCAATTAAAAGATATCCTTATGTATAAAAATGTCGGTAAAACAGAGAGACTCCAGCATCACCTTAACGACTATTTGTTTGCGCTTTTCAGCATTAAGTGGTATATTATTTCCTGGTCGAGAGGAAGCAGCTTTCTCTAATTTCCGCTTATGGGAGTCCACTGGCTCAGTGATAACGTACGTGTACAGCCCCTATTTGTGCACTGGTACGAAACTGTATATTTTAATCGGGATACTGTGCGTTGGAATAGTTGGTTACGGTGTTATCGAGTGGTCAGGCATTCGGGCGGACAGAGCAGTGTCTGATAAGCCTGATTTCGAACTGATGGCTGAAAGAGAGATTAACCGGTAAAATATAAAAGCACTAGGTATCGTCTTTTTCAGCTGATGGAATTGTAGAAAACTATCGAGATTTGTATCTTTCAATGTTACCGAAAAGTGCCAAAAATATAAAAAAACTTTAAATATAAAAATATACTTGATAACAAATTTCCGAAACGCGCCTAAAATACTTCTCAATCATCTTAATATTAAGCGCGTCATAAAAATACGTGAGAAATAAATTGCGAAATCTACTAGATGTACCTGAAATTAATAAAATAAGACAAACGCGTAATCTTGAAAATAAAATGAAGAAGACGAGATTGAAAACAGTCCTACTTTGATAACTTGGTTGCAAATTGAAATAGAAAAAAGAAGAAACATACGTACGGTGTATGTGTGACTCATTTGAAAATCAATTGTTCGTGAAGAGTCATAGGTACGACCTTTTGTTATTTGTACCACAATATATGTTTTTATTTTATTTTTGTGGACACCTACTAAATTTTACACAGGTATTCGCTTAACGGCTAAGATTTCTTGTCCTTCATTTTAAATACGTAATTTAATGTTACATCATGTGCCTAGGTGCTAACATTCAAGCTAAAGCTACGGCTGCTTAGTTTAATTGTATACTTATGTGCTTAATTGCCGACTGTGTGCTTATTTCGTTGCCGAGATCAATTGATTCCCGCCTTCGAAGGCAGATTACCGAGAGTTACGTGACTTTCTCACGATCGACCGACGTTTTCCGATAGCGGCAATGTCGAATCAATTGACCGGCGAATTGTAGTTTAGCATTTTTAAATTGATTGTATCGTGATTATTAGCTTAGCTCTGCATTCATCGTATTTACAATTCAAGTTCTGCAGTTTAGTTATATACTTTATAAAACGTAGTAGGAACTTTGGTTTCGCTGGGCAATGTTTCATGAGCAGTTTCCTCTTATTGATTTGTAACTTTGTTTCGTGTCTCAACGTGGCTCTTTTTAGGGGTACTCATTTCCTCTTTATTACACGGTTATGAAGTATTTACCCGTTCTTGTTTCGTCTATTTTGAATTTACGAAAATTACCGGACAAGGCGAGCAATTCAGCTGGAAACTGCTATAAAACATTCGCCCGTGGATCTATCTTCCTTAATATGACACTCACGAATACAATTCACATTTTTTTTTGTAATACTCATGTTTATATTTTCGTAAGGATCTATTTCAATAGGAATATTTCAATTTCACGAAGAAAATACACATAATTCTTAAACCGTCTCTTCGCGTTTTTTTTTTATTTTTATCACTACCGCGGATCTTTCGACGCTCTGCCCCTTCTCTCCTTTTCTCCCCCTCTCCCATTTCTCGCTCGTATAACAAAATTTAATAACCGGAATATTTCTGTACAAACATTTTCGCTCTTTTATCAAAAAGGATAACATACGCATCCCACCCCTTAATAAAAAATTTTGAATTTTGCAATTTACTCCGTCGTATATCTGTTTTTCCAACCCTCACTCCATCCTCTTCGCGCCTTTCATACTCTCTTTTATTTATATAGTACATTTTAGGAACAGATCACTTTGCTCGTCTCAGGCTTAAAAGTAAAACCTTAAAATATTATTTACTTTTAGAAATTTATTATTTTTTAACCATGTAAATTTTCTTTGCATGAATTCAGCTATTTTATAGCTATGATAATAAAAGTTAATTATAATATTACAATGTCTAGGTATATCGTAATATGTACATGCTACCCTTGCGCCCCTAGCTACTCGTCAAGTTAGAGATTTCACAATATTATCGTAATGAATAGCCCATTATAAAGAGGATGAAGTACATTTTATGCACAGTTCTTACCCATTAAATGTACGCGTCTGCTAAGTATTAAGAAAACCGTAGTTTAAGAGCTTCGTTTAAATATCCTTTTGCGCGTGAAAACGTCTGCGGGCTGTCGATCGCTCGTGTCAAATGATTGTGTCAACGTAATGCAAATCAAACGTCTAAGAGTCACTATAATGCGCGAGGCGATTTTACATGGCCACGTTATTGATTTACGATTATGATCCTTTTATTAAGAGGGACATAATAATATGCATAAATAATTCTTCGATTTCAAAATCACGCGTCTGTAATATTTTTCACCGCACGCACACTCGAAGGAATTATTCGAGTGCTCTCGGTACACTTTCCTTTTCTTCCTTTCGCGCTTTCATTTTGATTTCAATTCCAAATCAAAACGAAAGAGACACAGACGCGTATTCTACGATCGAAGAATTACGTTCGTTCGAATATCCCGCAGATCGAAATCGAGCTCTGATATAAATCGAAGTTTTCGTCCGAGCTTTATCGTTATTCAGCGAATAAGCGGATCGCATATATGTATAGGAACGGAGGATGCGTGCTCGTTTATAACACGTATACGTCTTACATGGCAGATTATCACGGACTAGTTTTGCAGAAACTCGAATCTTGTCTGTCCCTAACTGTGTCTTCTTCTCTCTTTCTCTCTTTCTTTCTCTGTTTTCCTACAGGATTAAATATAACTTCAGGAGCGGCATGTGGTATATAATCGTTTATAGCATACTTTCAAAGACGTTATTGCATTATTTAGTCGCTAAAGGAATTTCATTGATTTCTAAATACACTTGTAATTTACACATCTCGCGCGCACCAAGAACTTTTGACCGATTTATCACCATGAAGCTATGAAAGAAATATTATCGTGCTCGTTATAACAGTGTATACATATGCAAGGGATGATTATAATCAATAGAGACGATGATTTTATTTTGTATTTGTTACCTAAGCGATATTTTTATTTGCGCAACTCAACGAGCGACAATAATACCTCGGGATCCCTCGTTCGAACACAGTCGTAGTCTTTACTGCGCGCGGAAGATCGCTACCCTTCCGAGTGTTTCCATTTTAAGTGCATTTCCGATTGTTCCGCCGTTTAATTAGGAATCAATTGTAGTTATTTGAACGTTCGCCGCTTACGTAGCATCTTTGTACGTAACCATGTTAAAGGTAGCTCTTCGTTATTTTTTTATTCGTGCGACGACTTACATATCTTCCCGCCTGGTTTTGATGGATCGTATTCCGAAAGACGTACATGCCCCGACAAGTGTTGCAATCAAGCAACCGCGGGTAATCAATTAATTAGAGGAGCCTAGAAGCGATTTTTCTATAGCTGACAAACCGTTGACGTAATTTCGACCGTCGAAGCATTTACGTCCATCGTTAGTGCTTACCAATTGCCGATAGTTCGTTCGAAACTGGATCAGTTAGTCAGTGTTTTCCGATATATATCTATGAAAATTGGAAGCGCGCGACGGATTGGTACCAAATGAGAGACAACGATTTCAGATTATCAATTTTCGATATTCGACTCATGTATACATCACATATTCGTAGATTAAAGCTATTTACATATATAGATGTCGTATACACCTGCGATCACAATATTCGAAGGACTTCGCTTCGATCTAGAATCGATCCTTCCGCGCCGGAGCGAATTTGATAAATGTGGCTTTCTATAAAGTAAACGCCTTTCCATACTTATTCCGTAACAAACTACGGAGAACTGCTCTCGCGCCAGAACTGTTTATTTATGCTAGAGGAAACGCGAGATTGGACAATTTCACGAAACGTATTCTTCATCGTCCGTAGTTTGAAGCCTTTCTCATATGCTTCCCGATTGCTCGGTAGACGTAGTCCTTTCCTATACGACGCCCTTCGACATCATCCGCACCGTATTCTTCAGAGCTTGTCTCTTGTTGCAGAACCAGATTCTTATCACCTCCCTATCGTATCCTAATCGATGCGCTAAAGTTGTGATTTCGTTACCTGGAAAAGAAAGAGAACAGAAATCCTTCCAGTGTGTTAAAAGATGCACGAGGTAGCGCCGGAAGAGAATTTGTAGGAATTGCTAGAATTTCTGTAACCGGGAAACGTCTCATGTTTCCAACTCAACGCTCACAGTTACTAGTTAAAAACTATAAAATCCACTACTGCCTCTTTTGTGACCTGATTAGTACCACATTTCAAATAATAGATAGAATATCACGAAATTACATTAGATTACACGCAATTTCAATGTAAATAAATAGGAGTTTTATTAATTTTATACAGGGTAGGCTTCTTGTAGTAGCGAGAGGCTCTAATCGTAGCTAAAGGTAGAATGGTACTAACCAGTAGGATGAGTGTTCCTGTCGAAATGTGCGTTCAGCAATTCCAGAGCCTGGGGCGTAAAGGAGGTCCGCCGTTTCCGCTTCTTGCTCGGTTCGACCCCGATGAAGTCCGTCAGATGATTAACGCCGCTCTTGTACCTGGAATCAGATGCACTACTCTTGCTCGAATTCGGAAGATTGCATCATCGGTGCTTACATTAACGCTTACACTAAACGCGTTTACACTTTCGTGAAAAATGTATACTGTACGCTACGATGCTACGAGTCGCGAAATAGGATCCCGTTTAAAGGTCCGACCGGTTAATCGCCATGTTTTTACAATAATTAATTACGTCCGCGAGTCTACATCGAATTCGAAATCTCTCCTGCGGTTTATGAAATATTGTTATAAATCCAATATGAAAAAATAATTCTGTTTACTGTTTTGCACGTTCGTAATTACGTTAGCGCGAAATAGGATACTGATTAAAAAAGGAAATCACCCGGCGTCACGATATTCGTGCTCGGACACGTTCGGTCGCAAATATCCCGTCCCGGTATTGGATTTTTCCCCGAGTACACACCCGGGTTGATTCACGAGTCGAAACTTACTCCACGTATCGCGAAACAGAGCCCTGCGGTGGCGGCGACGACGGTGGCGGCGTCGACTCAAATAAAATTAGCGATCAAATAGCCGCGCGGCGCACTCAAGCTCGAACTCGCATCTCATTCGTTATTCAAGTTCATGCGAAATCTCGAGCAATTTTTATATTCAAATATCGTCCGTTTCCACGATTCCTTTAGCGTTTTTCACTGGCAGAACCGGTGTGCACCGAGTGCACACTTTGTGCATAGCCAATTCTTGTATTTAAGGATCGTAATTAAATACCTTTTGAAATACTTCTTTTAGCCAGTAAAATGATCTGTGCGGCATCCATATGAATCATTTTTCGGATAGATAGCTTTTGAACATGTATTTAAGACGACCTTAGATAAGAATTGACTATGAGAACAAGCCTTAGTGCGCGCACTAGTTCTGCTATTAATTATAAGATGATATGAGCAAGCGCTTCGATCTCACCATGCACTTTTATGAATACCGAGCGGTTATTTCTGACCGTATCTATTTTTTAGATTAATACCCTATTTCTAAGATTCTGAATTTGATGACTTTTTATCGATCAAATAATTCATGAAGAGTCATAAAATTTTTGAATCATGTCTTTTACAAGAAATAAAGTATTACAGTAATTAAAAAACAAATAGCAACGATCAGAAATAACTGCTCGGTAGTTCTAGCGTTAATATTACATTTTCTAGCTGCATCAAGGACATTATTTTATAGCCATCAACAGTTCTCATAAAATTAAATTAGATATTCCCGTAAGATTTATTCGCCAGCCTGAATAAATTTTCTATATCCGTTTGCTTAAGCTCGCTATTTTTATTGTAGAACGGAATAAGGTCAAGTAGATTAATATAAAATTTTAAATAATCGCATTGATCGTCAAACAATGAAATCGACGGACAATGAATTCGTTATTTTGCCGCCGTTATTCTAATTAAATTAACACGAGATATTAACTTGTAATAACTAGGAATTTATCATCGAGGGATCAATGTCCGTCATGCGGCTCTGTCGTATATCGTATTTCATCCTGAGATCTATTTGCTCGAACGACCCGCAAGAAATTGAGGAAAGATCTCCAGAGTCTCGGGTCGAGAGTACGCCAACTTTTTCTGGGGGTCGCGCGACCGGTCGACATAATTTCATTTGACGGGGCTAGCATTATCGGGCGCGGCGCGATATGGAAAAAGCTCGCGGCCGCGACAGTAAACAGGAGAACTTCCGTCGGGACTCCCGGGTGAGCGATGAGGGAAGCGGGTACGGGCGAGGTCGGGGAGGCCCGATGGTGGCGCGCGGTCATAGGTATACGGTCGCGCGGTGCCAGCTCCAAATTTATGTTTTTAATTTAACTCCGAATGACCAACTGTCGAGTCGAAAAAAGTACACGGCGGGCCATTAGCATCGCGCGGTAATATTTCGTCGAATTCGCGAAAACAATATGCTAATGGAGAAGTCGGCGGGCGCGCGAAGAACCGACGCGACGATTCGACGGGGGTTTGGATGTCACGTCGCTGGTGTGCGTCGGTGACCGGTGAGCGCGATGGAGACCCGAAGGGCCCGGGGGTGGAGGCAGGCGAAGAAAGACGAGGCAAATAAACGTGAGTTAATACGCGAGGGAACGCGAAAGCTGCGTGTAAGCTCGGGGGGGTGCGTGGGTGTTACGCATCGCTGTTGCGTACAGGAGGAGGATGAGAGACGCGCGGGGAAGTTTGAGCGAAAGGAAGAAGAAAGACGGGAGCTGAGAGGGAAGGAGGATCCGGAGGCTGCGTGAGAGCAGAAGGAGAGACGGAGAGAAAGAGAGAGAGAGAGAGAGAGGAGCGCGCTCCGCGCCGCGATGCCGCTGCGGGTAAGAGCGAGGTGACGGCGGCGGTGGCGTGTAGGTAGGAGGAGCGACGCCGGGGGGGAGGTACATCAGAAACCTGATTTTAATTAGTCCACAGTTTAATTACTCGGCAGATAAATCGTGCACGTGCACCGCATAAACTAGCCGCTTTCATTTTTCCCGGACGCGGCCGGCGCGGCGCACGGTCGACGCTTAGCTCTACGCCGCGCGAATGCAGGATGGGTCATTGTTGCTCCGGCTTGCCCCCGTGAAAAGAGAAACGACCGTGCCCGCGCCCGCTTCCGTCATCGAATGATTCGATTATTCCGCGCCGCGCTTCCGCGCCTGTTTTTCTTTCATGGCTCGTAGCGTAGCTATTATCGCTGCTCTCGCGGACGATCGCCAAGCATTTCGCTTTTATGCGAGTAAACACGGGCTGTTTAATGCAGCCCGTATTTCTTCTTCTGGTTGACTTATTCCCGCGATCGCGAATGTAGGCACGAAAACTCGCGAGCGGCACCGTCTCGCGGCCCCGCGCTCGTATTCATATTCCTCAGATTTAGCGCCGTAGTCGAGCTCGCACGCACTTTTTTTCTTGTACTCTTGCACGAGAAGAATTACGCAGCGATATTTAAGCTAAGTGGACAACCGAACGCGAATATTTCTGGCGAATTCGATTGCTCGCACTAGTGCGCACTGCGTCGCACTAAGGCCTGTTTACAGTCCATTTTTATATTTAACCTTGTCTTCAATACACGTTCAAAGAGTATTTAGCCAGAAAACGATCCGCGTGGATGCTACACGGATTATTTTACTGGCTACGAAATTTCCACAGATATTTAAGACGATCCTTAAACATGAGAATTGACTGTAAACGAGCCTTAGTGTGGGCAAACAGAAATGCAAGTCGATAACGTAAAGCCTGATCTACCATGTGCTCTTTGCATCTAGACACGTTCTATACGTAGTCAATAAACACGTTTAAAGAATTTGCGCAAGTGGATAAACTGTACACCGTACAATCGTACACTATCGATACAAATGTTTCAAGCGTTTCGATTCGTTTGTATAAAATGGAATGTTTCTAGGCGCGGAGAGCACGTTGCAGATCAGGCTTAAATACTACCCAACTGTGAACGAGTTTAATCTTATTTGTAAAAAAAAATCAGCGCGAGAGAGTGAAGAGCGCGCTGGCGCCCCGATGTCAAAACCGCGTCGCGGCGCGTTTTAATCGCAGCGCGGCTGTACACGGATTCCTGATTAGCCCGCGGCGTAAAGTTCATTAGATTTTATCGTCTCGTAAAATTTACACCTCGCGGATACGCAGCTCTCGGGGGCCCCGAGATTCTCAGGGAGGCCCGGTAGTAACTTTCGCGTCACAGCGCCGAGCCACCGTGGCCGCCGCTCGAGCGGGCAGCCGCCTCGCGATCGCGCGCGGTAACGGTTTCTCCCATTCTAATTAACATTCCACATATTTATTAAACGGATCCGCAATTAATCAGGTGGATTCAATTAGCGAATTACCAATTAGCACGCACGCGTTCGCACGCTCTCGTGCCGGCGCGACGCGCGGACGCGGAGTCGAGGCCGCGTCGGACGATTGCGAAATAATCAGAAATACAACGTTAGGGCTTGATTTGCAATGGAGAACGTCTCCCTCTCTCCTCCCCCTCCCCCCTCCCTCCCTCCACCCTCGATTGGAGAATTTTAGTTGTTTATATTAATTATAGAGCGTTTGTACGGCACGTCGAAAGGAACGTTGTGTTTACGATACTGTGTTCCGGCATCGATAAGTGCATCTTTTCTCGGAGGAAAAAGCACTTTCCCACGGTAATCGCGCGGTAATTGTTAAAGTTGGTATCAGGAGGATTACTTACCTCTCTTCAGCCTCCTTCATCCACCTCTCGAGAACGGGCTTAATTTTCTGCGCGCTTTTCGGCGTGATGTCCAGCTTTTCGAATCTAAAGTCAAGAACAAGGCTTGATCCATTTCTTCTCGGGAAAAGTGGCAAGGGGGAGGGGGATGAGTGTGTCGAGAAAAGACGACAAGGACGTAAAAGGATTAAGTCAATCCAGAAGCAAACTTCTAGCGCGACATATACTAAACAATCTGTCCAAGTACTCTTGGAGAAACTTGAGGTCGTTGAAACTTCTTCTCAACGCTTGCTTCTCGCCCTTACGTCTTTGTCCCACTAAAGGAGCACTAAGAGGCATGCATTGATTCAATAACAGGACATTGACAATGCGTGCATGCTTTAAGGTTTGGTGATGCCGTGTATGATGTTGCCAACGCGCTGCGCAAACGCTCGTTGTTGCGGGCGAGCGAAATGAATCCGATCCCGATCGAGTCACGGCGGTGAAACGATTCGGAGCGTAGACTCGGCGGAATGTCAGAAGAGTCGCGAAATCCTCGGCTTCGTTCTATCCTTTTATTCTTAGCGCGTTGGCGACATCATGCCCAAGTTTGCCAATGCCCTGGCTCGAAGAGAGTTAATTTTAGAAGTGCTCCTTTCGCATTTCTTTTCCGAACGGAATTAGAAATTAGTGAGAGTGCTTGTGCAGCTATACCCAAATATGCCTGCCGGTTCTAAGCGGGAGAGGACTGATCGCGCAAATCGGTCGAACGCAAATGAAGAAGGGGATGAGAGGAAGACGACTGGCGTCTCTACCTCACTTTATGCACCGTTCGTTTCAACGAAACTAACGCGATTAGGTGGCTGTGTTTTTTTTTTCTCAAAATTCCTCATCTCGAGAGAATCGTCGGAAAATTCGTGCTCGATTTTCCATTGTTGGGTATAACTGCGGTTTCTTAAAGGATTTTAGAGTTTTAGATCTTTAGGTAAATTAAGTAGCATGGAGGGGTGAACGTACGTAGCTTGCTGCTGAGAGGCAATCTGCGAGGCAGCGTACATCTGGGTAGCCAGGGCACTGGGGAACAATCACCAATGCTTATGTTAGTTGATACGATAAGAATTTTCCAAGTGGTATAAACATTTTTTTCTCTTTGCTTGCTACCGGCATTACCACGGTGGTTCCCATTCGCATTTCGAAGACGCATCCCGATCGAAAGACGACGGGGAAGGTAAGCAGCGATAACAGTCCGGTGATCCTACGTCCGCGAAGAGTCAAGCGTCGGGTATCGTACGTTCGGCAATGTATTGGGTTTGCGTAATTTTTGCGGACACGCGGCCTCTATTTTCGCATCAAGTTCACTTTAATAACTCGATCTGGATTAAATTGCAGCATAAATCAGGAACCATCGTGGCGGAGTGCGGTATAAGTAAGTTCATGGCACCTCAAAATTGGATAATGCACCTGCGAAAGCTATGTTAGACTCCCTTGAACGAATTTAAGACGTTGCGGTAAATGATAAATAATGGAAAAAAAAATCGCGTGGGAAAAAAACAATTTTGTACAGTAACGGATGGTTGCTGTATAAAATTATTTTATTAACTCGAGTGGAAAACGTAAAACTGCTTCGAGATTCTCTTAGCTTTACGTTCGGGCGTTCATTCCTAACGGAAAGAGATGCTGTCGCAAGGCCATCGAACACGGACAGCTGGATCTGGTTTTGCTACTCTGAACAAATCTCAACCCTTTCTACGCCATTTCCAGTGACCTGGCACACTGTCGTTTCGCATTTTATTGAATTCTCATTAGCGGTGTCTGCTTCGACGAACGCGAGGAGGACGATGTAAGCGACAACTAACCTGCATATGGCACTTTGGCTGTAAGCGGGGCCCTCGGTGACGCTCAGAGCCTGACCAACTTGGGTCTGCGTCAGACCCAGAGACAGTCTACGCAGCTTAAAGACCTTGGCGAACTCCTTGATCTCATCCAAATTGATTCCGTCGACTACGTTGTTAGTAGCCTCGTTGATCGTTGGTTGATCTATAATAAAAATTCATTCCATTCCTATCACAAATAGATGAAAAGGCTACGACAAATTGTTACGAGTCCCCGGTACTACGACTTTTATCGTCTCGTGGCAAGATAAGTCTGACGTCACGCCAAATTCATTCCAAGTCAATGAATTAGCGATGATCCAAGCTTCGAAATAATATCCTCAGTCCTCTTTCAACCCTTTGAAGCACGGAGTAACATATACGTTACACACCTCGCGAAATTTAATAAATCTACACCTCTTTCACTCCGATGTCTTTATTACTTCATATCCAGAAGGTTTTTGGTTCGCTAAGTCTAAGTCTGAAGTCGAAATTGTAAAATTATCGACGATTGACTCAATATAGTAGCTCGAAATTAAAGTTTTAATTTAAAAAATTTGTTCTCTTTAAGAGATGTCCTGTGGTCACAAAATAATTCCGAAACTAGATATCTGGGGGGTTTTTGATTGATTTTTAATCTGAAGTCAAAATTTGAAAAAATGGCGAATCCAACATAAAGAGTAAAAATTACAAAAATGGAAGCAATTTACGTAGAATTCGGAAGTTTTCCAGGTTGCTGATTGCATACATGAGGTCAGAAAATCTGCATTTGACTTTTGTAATTCTGACATCAGACTTGTAATAAGCGGCCCAAGAAACCCTTAAATATTAAGTTTCAAACAAATCGGCTGAAAGGAAAAATGTACGCTTCAAAGGGTTAAATTTCTTTGCTTATCGGGGACACTTGAAACTCCTCTATCCTACAGAATGGCAATACAAATTGCGATAAAATATATATACAAATGGCGTCGCGTGCTGGCTGCGGAAACGACACCGGGCCGGTCGTGAACGAAATGAAATATTCCTAGTTCAAGGGTGAACGCGATAAGCGAGTCTCGCGTCGCGCGTGGTCAGTTTTGTGGCGATACTAATGATGCATTTTGAGCAGATTAGTGATCCACTGGCGCTCATTCGAGCGCACGTTTCAATCGATTCGTCGGAATGCAACGGAGCTCCGGCGAGAAGGCTGCCTAATGACATCAGGCGGCTTCGTTAAAGCAGCTCGCGAGCCACCACCGATTTCTCTCGTAAATCTGTCACCCCGAATGTACGTACGAATGCAATAGAAATGCCCACATACTCGACCAGTTCGCCTGGTTTCTGCGCCGCGCAATAAACTGCGAGTCCTTCTTCCGCGACGCTGTTTCTACGATCGTTAATTTCTGATCAAGGCACCTGAGTACTTGGCGCGCTTCAAACAAAAAGCTGCGAGCAAGTTATATGACGCGGCCGTGACACGATAAATAAAGGAATAAGAATCGCGCGAGGCGCAGCGTTCGATTCGCAAAGTTAAAATGATCGTGGCTTTGACGGTGATTGCGGTTCGACTTGCTTCCACGTTTCGTGCGCATTACAAATTGCATAAACAAGACGACTACGACGCGAGTGATGGCCAATAATCGCTGAAGCTTAACAACGAGATGTACAAATGTCACAACTCGACGTTCCAGGTGCAACAGTCTATTTATTTTCGCTCGCGCAAAGGCAGTGAATGAGGGAAAAATTAGGAAAGCCGTTTTCATCGCGCGACACGCCGCATCCTGGGCCCAGCGCGAGAAATTCTATCTTTGAATTTCTATCGGGGGAGGGTGAACAAGGGCAAATATTTATGAGATAATACTCGCATCTGACACTGGCAATTGAGAATCGTTAGGCTTCGCGCGCCGAATGATTATTCCATCGCGTCAGGCTGACGGAGTGCCCAGTCTACGCGGTGATTGTGAGTTATTAAAATTATTGTCAGCCAACGCGAGGTTACGCGCGCTGCTGGAATCTTTATGGCTTCCTAGAAGGGGCAGTAAGGAACGAACTAATGCCCCGTAATGAGTCCAGTATACGATATCCTATTACAGTTGTCAAGCGTTCTACGATCGATGCGCGTTCGAAATGTTATTTTCCAGTTTCGTGCGCGCGTCGAGCATTAAACCGCTCTCCTTCCGCGACGACGGCAGGGCAGTTTGCGCGTCTAAGCGACCGTAAGAATCGAATGCGCGCCTCAATAATCGGAGGCGTGCACGCTCGAGGATTTGCGCGACCGGTCGCGTTTAACTCCCTGTCAAAAATCTCATGAGAATGTGACAAGTTGGCAAGATAAAGATAAGGAGCGCGTTTGCATCTGGTAATTGCTTCTTTAAAAGTGATCATTATGCATGCAATCGCGCTTGTCGACATTAGCGAGTGTGCCTCGTGCAAGCGAGTGATTGCGTTATAGGAAGATGGTGTGTCTCCGGCGAAAATTGTAATTAAAAGCTGTCAAGGAGTAACGCGGCTACCCCGGGGGCGCAGCTCGATTATCATTTACGCGCCCGACGTCGCGTTTTAAACGCCCCGTCGAGTACCGCAAGCCAATTGACACAGATCATTTCGACTTTCGACCCCGTGGGTTAATATCGCCGGAAAGGAGAGGAAAATAAGCTGCGTCTTACTCGGCGAATCATTCAGGAGATCGTCCTCCTCCTCCTTCGGACTGTGCATACTGCTCGGGGACGCCTTTACTCCGGCACCGCCGGGCCCGTGCGTCGTCGTGATAGTAATCTCGCCGTTGCTGGCAGCCAATCTGTTCAAAGCGGATGCGGCGGACACCACGGATTCGTTCAATGGCGACGACTGCTCCGGCCTCTCCCTGTGATGTTTTTCCGTCGGCTGTCAACACAATGCGGTAATAGGGACGGATTAGTAGCTCACCCGGGGGACGGGAGCCGCTCCTCTTCCACGTCAATGCACTTAATAATGAGACCCGGGTACCTCGAATCGAGACACTTTAGAGTCTAATTAGTGGAAGGTATGCCGTACGCCGATACGGAATACTTTCTTAACGAGATCACTCGGCATTGGGAATTATTCTCGTTGTTTCGCCGATCTTGCCAGCGGAGTCGGCGCCGCGCCGGAAATGGAAACTGCACGGTTCGGCCGTGCATCGCGATCCGATAGAAATCCGTTTACATCGTTAGAAAAAAAAAAGAAAGGAACAAAAACGGAAAAGAGGAGCGCGAGCGCGAAGGTATTTATTCTCTTTGATTCGCACGGCAGTGTTATTCGTTGATGGAAGGTTAACTACACTAACGGTTATAGTTGAAATTATTGAGAAAGTGAATAACATCGTATATATATCGCACGGCCACTAGTGAGATGAAACGTGAAATGCATGCGGTTTTCGGAACAATACAACTATATGCGCGATATCACGAAAATATCAAGCTTATTGTAAAAGGAAAACATTGCTATTTTAACAAGCAGTGATATGTCTATCAATTTTGTTGATAGCACCATGACACGTGGTATCCCGCTATTTCATATCTGCGAAAACAACCGCGTGATCACGTAAGGCTATGTAATTACTGTAAATGCCAAATTATTGCGAAGCCGGCGTCGACGTTAGACCGTAAAATACTTGTTTCGTTTCTCAGCGTTCCTCGCGCGCATTACCGATAAGGTTTTGACAGAAAGACGCTGAAAAGAGCGAGCCGTACGTACTGTGTAATGATTCATATGCGAGGTGTGTCGGTGGTGCTGTTGAGGCGACGTCGTTAAAAGCGGCTGCTGAGAGGCCTGGACGGCCTGTACAGCCTGCGCCGCCTGCGCCTGTGCCGCCTGGGCAGCCTGAAGCAGTTGCTGAGGCTGCATCGCGCTCAGAAGTTGCTGGCTCGCCGAGCTATTGCTCAGAAGATGCGGCAGAGCGGCGGGGTTCAGTCCTAATCCCGACGCCAGGCTGGGGCTCGTGGGAACTGATAAAAGGACAAGTAGACGCGCGTAGTACGACATCCGATGCCGCGTTAATCGCAATGTAAATGCGACAGCGCTAATTGAATGCACTCGGACATTTTGATAAAATGCCTCGTCGTCAAAGTTAACGTTGCTCGCGGGCCATTGATTCGATCAAGAGGATGCGACTTAACGTCTCGAGCGCTGTGGGCGCCCAGCGTGCTTTCTTTCTGAATCTTCCGATTTTTCTGTGGTGCAATTAATATTTGGAAAGATAAGATCGCGAGCACGAGAGGATCACAAGTATTTCAATAAAAGTCCTACGTCCAATTATATACATCGCAGAATCACTCGACATCTTGTAAGACTCGCGCGGAAAACATACTCCGACGACTGCAACGCTTATTAGCGTGGTCTGATTACGTAGAACGCACCGCTGAACTGTTTCGTATTGAAGAATTAATTATTTAACTGGATATTCCTGCGACATTATAGATTTAGCAGATGCAAAGTAATCATTTATATTATATATACACGTATTATTTGGATACTTCGTTCAATTATGTAAGAAGAGTAAAAATAACAATTTAATTTTACGATGAATAGGTAATAACATTCTAATAAGTTGAAATGCGTTAAAATACATCTTAGCGAAATATATGTTGTACGACTTCATAGAAACGGAATTATATTTGCACGGTGACGCGTAAAGGTGGATATATTAAACGTCTTACGATAATATCGGACACGCGGCACGAGAAAACGTTACAAATAGACCAGTGTTGAACTTACCATTGCTCGTAGGCGTACTAAGCATATTCTGCGGTTGAGCTAGAGATTGGAGATTCGCCAGTGTCGTAGAAACTACCTGGCCGTTACTGAGCGCCAAGTTCACCATTTGATTGTTCGTGACGTGGCTGACCGGTATAGTCAAGATGGTTTGGGTAGCGATCCCTGAGGAATGAGAAAGATTTTTTGTTTTGAAGAAAAAACATGCGCGCGCTTCTCACCGACGGGAGAACCGTCGCGGGATCAAGAGTGACGATGGGCAATTGATTATGTGCGGCGTTCGAAAATGCTGCGCGATCGTATTTCGAATCAATAGATACTTCATTTCCATTATGAACATAGTCCACGCGTCGTTGATCCAGGATGGGTAGTAAAGTTATCAGAGTCTCATAGAGGGATTATTAGGCAACCCATAGGGCAGGTAACCTCGCAGGCTAGCGTAGTTGGCAAACTATTATCGTCATCTTAATAGTGGGTACAGGTACTGGTACTGGACTGCGCTGCGAGAAGGACGCCTAATCATACTTAGAATAGTTTCGGGATTACCTCCAGCTCCGCTAATCTGATTACCCTGTACACGCGCTTAATATGATTACTGATCATGAGTACGTACCCGTGTTGCCACCTACAGCTAAGCTAAGCAAATCCCGTATTCCGAACAGCCATAAAAGTTTCACGTTCTGAGGTAAGGTCAACCGACAATCCGATTAACGTGCAGTTCAAACCGAACGATAACGCGCCCGCGCCAATACTTTCACTGTTGATTCACGGTCCCCCTGACAAGAGTGTAATGATATGAAAATATTTTGTTTATCCGAGCACGCCCGCGATAGCAATATAATATTTGCTTTTCGTTTACGCGTCGCCGTCTATTTAGAGGCGAAGGAAAAATTCTCTTCAACACTTTTAGGAATATTGGAGATTTATTTATATCCGAGGGATAAAGAACGTATTCGTATCGTGTTATCTCCAATTTCCACGAATCAAGGCGTACACGACCTCCCCGTGTATTTTAATCCTCGCCGCTTTTCGGGTCTTAATCGTCCGCGCGATAAAATCTCGGACGGCTGATATCACTTTAAATAAAGCCACGGACATATTCGCGCGGACAATAATTTCTATGAACGACAACCTATTGACCGCACTCTCGAGCACTCCTCGACTCATCCTCGCCGACACTCGATGTCTATCAGAGACCAATCGAGCGTTAGTCAGTTACCATCGATTGAGTCGAAAAGCAGTGCAAACATTATTTGCCGCCACGTAACTCGTCATCCTACCGCGGCCGGTCCATATCCACGAACTTCAATCCACTTAGGCGGAATCCCAAAGTTCTCCTTCTGCCTCCCGTCCTTCGCCCTCCTCCGCGCTCTCTCTCTCCCCCCACTCTATCTCCCTCTCTCTCTCTCTCTCTCTCTCTCTTCTACCCTTTCTCTCTCTTTCTCTCTCGATTGCTAGAATAGGAACCTAACTTGGTAGAAACGAAGTTAGCGCGGACCGCAATCGATATAATAGCGGCCGAATCCGCGGAGCTGCGATGTCCAGCCAGTGAGTGCTAGGGCTAGGAGTGCGAGGGGTGGAAGGACGGAGCCGAGAAAGGAGGCAGGATGGGGTGGGATTCGTGAGGTTGGAGAGGGGTAGTGAGACGTTAATTATACATTGAAATTAGTTGCAGAGTTTGCCCTGTGCTCGGCGAGGCAGTCTAGGACCACTAAGTATGGACGACGGGCCGGCCTTAGTCCGAGCTCTGGTCAGAGATAGTCGATATTATATTATATATCGGCACATCTTGATTGCACAACATTATGCGCCGGCACAGCGCCGGGTTATGTGTTCCGTTCAGCGGACGCGCGATGATTTTATGCGTGGCAACCGTCGATGGAATTTTGATTGATTGCAATTTCGGCTGTAATCTCGTAGATTGTTCACCGGTAATTCGGATCAATATTACGACGGTAAGGTACGCAAGAAAGAGGCTCATCGGTCCACGTTGGGGAGCAACGCTGAAATTGTAGAGTGCTGGTGTGACTTACCTTGCGAAGTGGGGATAAGAAGCTGAGCCCCTTGAATGCCCTGGACCAATTGACCAGACGTTAGGATGAATTGAGGCATCGCGACCGGTTGCGGTTGAGATAATAGCTGAGGTAACGTTGCCATTGGGGCTGAGCTAGGTGGCAAAAGGTGGGGACCCGCTGTCGTACTCGAGGCCGTTGGTATCGTTCCGCCTGAGAATATAAATTAACGAATTCACCGCATTAGATTATCTCTTATCATCCGACTCTTCAGCCTCGATTAATCTCCTTTCCGAGCTTGCGTAACCGCTCGTGTTTACGACCTCTATTTCGATTCGAGAAAGTCGATCGCAACAATCTCGATTTACGCTTCTTACCTGACGAGCTGACGGTTAGATTCAACGGAGTATTGATCAGCTGATTATTGGTTAATCCCGCTGTCATCCCCTGAAGACCGGCGGCCAGTGACGCGACTTGTGGGAGATTTTGCAAATTCGCTAAATTCTGAAGATTCTGAAGTGTCACCATGCCGGCCACTACGCACACAATTCCAATGGTAAGAGAACAATGCCGACATCGGGGATCGTACGCGGAGAGAATTTTCTCTTCGAGTTTATCCTGAAAATCAGGCGATCGCGTGGAACAACGTGGCATTTTCAACAACTTTACGAGAGTTTTGAAAACTTTACCATACGTTTTACTAGCAAAATGTATAACCAAGTGTAATTACCAGTGAAACGTATGGTAAAATTCTCCAAAGTGCCGTCTTGTCCCACGTAATTCTCAGGATCGATTTTAAAAGGCATAAAATTCACAAGGCTCTGACGTGAAATCTCAAATACCAAGTATCAAAGGATGTAAGAGCCAAGACATTGCGAAAAATTTACCTCAGCCAGGGATGGAACTTGGACCTCCCCTCGAAAATTCTCTCCGTGCGCAAGCCGATAAAATTTCGTGTCCGTAAAGGACCGCGTAATTTCAGTCCTCGCACTTACTTGTCCCGTTTAGGTGAGCTTGCGCGACCGCCGCGCGTTTCGCTTGGTGGAGATTCTCGGGTGACAGGCTCCGTCGTCTCTTCCGTGAATTCTTTATGTCATCTATCATCATTTGGTGCTCGTGGAGTGCGCCACCACCTGTCGCCGGCTCGGGACTTCCAGCGCTACTCCTGTCGCTGTCCTGTAACAGATATATATATTCACATGTACGATAGATATATATATACATATATATATATAATCACGCCAGATTGAAATTCAATCACCTTCGATTTGCACGAGGTCGCACAATAGTCGCGAGAAATTTCGTCAATTGAATTGAATTATACCACCACGTTGAATTAAATTACACTACTGTCCAATAATAATAATACTAATTAAATGTGTATTATTCTGCACTAACACGCGGATTACTAAGAGACCGGGCATCTTTCCGAGTTTTCGATGTGAAACGCTATTGCGTCATTCTCCCGCGGAAATCAATCGAACAGCGACGCAAAGGTTTTAATACGAGTTAACAGTCATTTCCAAAATGACTGAAACATTCAATTATACGCGCGTCGTTCGTTAACGCGCGATGCTTTTTATTGCGGTGGCGCGTTTAACGTCGAAAATAGATTAATAATCATTCACGGCCCACACGAATGGTACACATTAAAATATTCCATTTCAGGTCGGCGGAGGTGAGAAAAAACAATGACAGTAAATTAATGACGATAATTATTGTAATATAATGCACGTAAACCAACGAGTCTTACGACACGATCGGTGATCACTGTCGAAATATTAATTTCAATATCACTTACGCGTGGCAATGAAAATTGAGCTCGCCTGTATTATCGCGATGCCCGATCCTTGCCCATAAACATAATCCAGCAATGCGTGCGGGCAAAGTGATTTAGTTATTCACGCTCAATAACACATTTTTGGAATTAACTTGGTCGGCCGTGCCGACCGTCCGATTTAATCAATACCAATTTGGCAGGACCGCGCGACATACGGTGCGCCGCGCCGTGACTTCCGAAAATTCTCACCGACAAACAACAGCGGCGAAAGATTATGCGGGGGAGCGGGGGGGAGGAGGAGGCGAGAATTGCCGCGCGCGCGCGGAAAAAAAAATATATTAATCACGCGTTGCTCCGCTTTCGTGCCTGCAGATATATAATTCATGCATATTTACGGAATACCAGCGGAATAATTAACGAACGCCGGCACATTAAGGCGCGCCGTATATACGTACGTGTGCACGTGTAGTCGAGGTTCTTAGAAGACAATCTAAATTATAATAAATCGATGGAGTATATATGCCGTAATGCTTTACCACCACGAGTGTATATCGACGACGGTGGTGGCTGTGCCGTGGAGAGTAATGTTACCGGTGCGGCCTCTTTGCATAATGGTATGGAAATATGCCGGAACGTGTATCGCCATAGTTGGATACAGATTAAGCGTTTTAGAGCTTCGACACTCGAGTAATTCGAGAAAAAGTGTTCCCGCACGGATAACTACCTACGGATGGACCTATGAATAAATCCTGGGGCAGCTTCCGCGGTTAGGTGGTTATCGCCTTACCGTGGACGTACGACCGTTCCGACTAGACGATATCGACGCGAATGTCCAAGAGGGACAACACAATCGAAACTGTCGACCGAGAGCCGTCTCGGTATTCTTTCCACAATTTTCTTGGCGGGGAAGATCGCGAAATGATAAGCCGATGACACTTTTATCCAATCTGTAAATATCGCATTAATTGTACCGTCAAAGGATCTCGGTACATTCAGCTTGACGGGGGGTTTTTTTTTTTAAAAAAAAGAGTATCCTCTGGGTGCGGCTTGTAATCCCGGCTTGAATTTTCGTCAAAGTCGCACAATGGGCCGCGCGCGTCGCTGGCCGAGGCATTTCATTGCATAAAAAATAGATAAAGCCTGGTCGATAGGTAACGAACGAAAATAGGAGGCGCAGAGGGTACGGCAGTTCAATTTTTTTTCCACGCAAATTCGTAAACGGCTATACCGCCGGTATAGCCACCCTATATTAAATGGACGAGGCGAGGGGGATTAGTTGAATGCACAGGTTCGACCATTTTGCTTGTAAAAGTGCACGCGATATACAACCAGGCGTAGAAACATATGTTTACAGGCTTCCAGTATTTCGCATAAATTAATCAGCGCAGGTACATCGCGGCGGCATCGCGGAATAATTTCGCGCGATATCATCGGCCTCGCCACAACTCGCCGGCTATTCTTTCGTCGCGTAAAAACAGAAAGAGACGATTGGCACACGTTTCGGTAAAAAAAAAAAAAAATTGCACAAAGTGGATTTCACGGAAATGAAGGGATCCAAAACGTAACTTACAAAAGTTGTTCTATTTTTGTACACTTCCATCATTTTGATTACCACGAATATTGCATTATTAGGAGGAATAAAATGAGCACTGATAGCATCGACAAGGCTGTAATTTGCAATTAGCGTCTGTGATTCCTCGCTTCGTGCCTCGATAATAAATAACGCGGTAGTCGGTTTATCCAAGCACGTCGAACAAAAGAAGCGGTCAAATATCGCCGACGCCGACGTTTTAAATTGCCCGAGAGAAATCAGTCACATGATCGATAAAAAATCGTTACCCCGCGTCCATAAGCCATTTCGCTAATGCGAAAAACCAAGCTGGATCTCTCTCTCTCTCTCTCTCTCTCTCCCGCGAATGGGGCGGAGGGTGAGCGCGAACGGCCAGTGGGAGGCGCGAAAAAAATACACTGGGCAGAGAAAAGAGGGCGGAGAGCGTTCGGTTGGTCGTTGGAAATGCAACAATAAACATTACTTATCGGCACGGGGGTCTCTAACAATGCGTATACGAGGAGAAGCGGCGCGGCTGGTAGCAAAGCGCAAGTTTTTTGCAATAAAGTCATTTCGAGCCGTTTGAGTTATGGGTAATTCCTGTGGAACGCCCGGGCCTGTGCGCACTAGCTGGCTGGTCCGAGTCCGGTCCATTGATTAGTATTAATGACTTAGCTGCACTCATTTCGCCCGAATAAAAGTAATTGGATTTGGCTTCGACCCCGCGCGGACCGCGCTGTAGTTTGGCGTCGGCGGCGTCGGGCGGCGTCGGCGGCGTCGGCGGTGGCGACGGCAGTGGCTGGCAGAACAAAACTGGTGGGCGCGTGTAAAAATACATTAATATCTGTTTGCGCTTAATAAACGATAGCCGCGCTGACTTCAGACTAATGGCCGTATTCCGGAATCGGTAATACGCATTTTTATGTTTCTTTCTGAAACGCGGCGCGGCGCCGCGCGGCGCCGCACTGTGCCGGTTCCATCCCATCTTCAGCTGCGGCCGTTCCTGCCCCTGGCGATCGATTTGTCGACCGGGGACTGCTAGCCGTTATGAAAATTGAGCGATTTTTTGGCAGGGAAAACCTACACGGAGAGAACTTTATCTTAAAATTTACCCTGAAAATCATGTAATCGTGGGGCAACGTGGCGTTGTGAAAATCTTTATCAGAGTTTCCTGAAATTTTACCACACGTTCCAGTAAAACCGTAAGTATACCAGTAAAATTTGAAAGAACTCTCGCAAAATTGTTCCACGATTACATGATTCTCAAGATAAATTTTAAGAGAAAATTCCCTCCGTGTACGTACCCGAGCTGTAATCTGTCTGATAAGACGTAAGATACAAATATATTGCCTAACAATTAGAAGTTACGACAACCGTGGCGTACAACTAGATATGAAATTTCGATATTTCCGATAAACCGAAAGCGACGATTATGTCCCACTTGTTTTTCTGTTTAAATCATTTCGAGCGTTTAAACTATTTTGACTGAGTGATTCCGCCGGTGTGTAGCTTGCAATAAAATATATCGCTCGTAAATATATTCAAACAGTTTAAAGCTGGCTGCGTAATTTGATTTCAATCTTACAAATTTCATTTATGTTCGCGCGTCAATAATCATCGATCGATAATTACGCGGAGTCATTCGATGCGTCGCAGGAGGGCGTAAAAAGGCGAGAGAACGATGAATTTGCTTGACGATTGAGGATTCTAACGAATCCTGCGGAGGGTCGCAATTATCACGTGGTCATTGCGAAAGGATGTTATCGGGAGTGGAAACCCAGCGAGACAGTGGCAGAGGGTCTGCTCTCTATACGGGAAGGACAGAACGGAGATAACTAGAGGAAGGTAGACAAAGACAGTTTGGCAGAGAGAGAGAGAGAGAATCATGGAGATAGTGGGGAAAGGGAGAGAGCGAGAGAGATGGATAGAGAAGGGGGGATAGAGAGTAAGAGATAGAATCCGCTCGACCCCTCGGTTCAGGCCGCTTTGTCTGTAAGTGTAATTAGTCCAGGGTGGGGTTCCTGGGAGCCGAGGCTCGGGGGTATAAGGGAGGGTAAAAGAAGAGGGGTGCAGCGGAGGCAACGGGGTGGTTCATCCTGGCTTCCCTCGCCCCGTCGCTGTGCCCCACCACCGCCTTATTTATATGCAAATGAGCTTCATTTCGCGATATTAATGTTCCACCCGAGTCGGCCTGCCTCGGCGCGAAAGGGTGCGAGGATACGCGGAAAAGGGTTCGTCCTCCCGCTTCGTGTGTGTTTACGACCGTTTCGTCCGTATGGACAGCAGTCGAGTCAAAATGTCAAAAATTGCGACGGCCTCGATGGCGACGGTCGCGCGTGGACGTGGGCGGCGCGGCCGTAAACCTAAATATATATAAATCGGAGGACGGGGTCGCGAGCGTGGGAAAGAATAACGAATCGACCGCGGGAATTTTGAAAGGGAGACATCGCTCAGCGCTCGCTCCGGCGAATCGAGATCGCGGGTGCGGGAGCGTGTCGTCGCGTTGCAAGAAATCCGCCTTACGGTTACCTCCTCCAGCGTGCCGCGCGATTAATCGCTATAACACGATGACTTGTCAGCCTTCCCAGGCGGATCGAAAATTTCCAACGGCACGCCGGGTATAGTCCCAAGTCGCGGCACTTACATGGCGCGTAGGTAGTACAGATAATGACCGATTTATCGTAACGAGTGGAGCGTGGCGGCGGGTAGACAGACCCCCATCAAGGCCCCACCGGGGTAAATTAACAACAGACAAGCCACTTGAAACATTACCGAGGCTTCCTTGTGAAGCAAGCCGGGGGTGGGCTCGCGCTGTTGCCTTACTCAACATAAATTAGGGCCGATAGA